CAGGTACATGGGCACCCTGCGTCCTGGCCTTCTCTTCCTTGCTGGAGTCCCTCCTATTCGCTCTCCTCTTGGCAGCCAGAGCATCTTGTCCCAACATGGGTATGAGCGGGACACCTCCTTGCTTCAAGCCCTCACTGGCGTTCCATTGTTCCTTAGACAAAAACCAACAAGGTGTGGCTGTATCCGTTTATAATGACATTGGTCACCTTATGAAAGGTGACGACAGGCCCCGACCAAGGGTTCTTGTTCTTTACTCTCCATCACAAATGGAGAACCCAGCTGTGGTGACAGCTGTTCCCATGGAAGGGACCAGCCTCCCTGGCCTTCGGGTGCCCACAGGGGCTCCCCATTTGGGGTGAAAATAGCTGCCTCATTCTCATGGGGGACGCTCAGGCCCTCTTCAGCGTTCTGCGAACTCTAGGCCACCTGCCCATCGGGCTCAAGCAAAAGGTTCCCTGTGAGGTCAATGGAAGGGCAAGGTCCCTGGATCAACTTTCCTTCAAGGCTGCGCCATCCCCAGCCCAGCTACCCAGCCTCCTTTCAGCCCCGCCTGGGTACCATGTCCCTCGGACACCGGGCCTTTGCACAGGCTGCTTCTTTATGTAAATTCTCTCCACTTCCATCTTCACCCAGTTAACTTCTTGAGATCCCTGCTAAGTCATTTCTTCCACAGAGACGCCCTCCCTGACCTCCTGCCCAGATCAGACCCCCCATGGAACATTCTGCCAAGCTACTTACCTCTCTTTGCAAGTTTCCATTCAGTAGGTAGTTACTAATGTCTGTCTGTCTACTGGACTGTCAGACCAGGAGGGCAGGAATCATACCCGGTTTTGCTCTCCTGTATATCCCCCGCATGTAGTAAATCCTCGATATAGTGTATTGACCGAACAGGCAAAGACTCCCTCAGGGCACCCCACTCTGCTGGGAGTCTGCAGGGTTCTTCGGGGAGGCAGCAGAAGTGGTGCGATTCGCAGACTGAGGCCCAGCCTGGTGCTGGCACTGCAGGGGCTACGTACGTGCAGTCGTCTTGCCATTGTTATTGTTAGGATGGTGATGATGATGCCTTCTAAACCCAGAGACGGAGGGCAGAGCTCTGTGCCCTCCACTCACCTCTGCCCCAGCCACCCTCCACCATGGAGGTTAAGACCTGCAGAGTAGGGACACTAATCCCACCGAAATGCTGGGGGCCCTGGCCCAGCTGCGTGGGACGGGGGTGGGGGGTGCTTTGGGATACTGGACTGGCAGCTGTCCTCTGTGGCCAGGTAAGGAGGGAGGGAGGGAGGCACCCAATATTTCTGGGCCCCTCCTTGTGGGCATGGCACTTTGCAAAGGATTTACACATTCTGTTTCCTTTCCACTTAGTGTGGATGATGAAGCTGGGCCTAGAGAGGTGACAGGACTGGCTAAGGTGGCACAGCTTCTGAGTGGTGGCACTCACACTCCAGTCCCAGTCTTGCTGGTGCAGAGACAACCTGGTGAGAGAACCAGAAAGCCAACCTCATCTCCTGAATGCCTGAAACTCTTCCAAATCCAAGTCTGTTCAACACCCCCACTTCAAACGTCAGCCGGGGACACGTCCTCCAGGAAGCCTGCCTGGATTTCTCCGCCTGGCTCTGGCCCTACAGTCCTGTTTTCTGTCACAGGTACATGCACTGGCAGGGGCTGGCAGGGGCCCCATCCTGGCCAGGCCAGGATTCAAAATGGCTCACAAAGGGATTGTCTCAGAAACGCCGCCGCCCTCACGGGGAAACACCCTGAAGCTGCTGCAGGAAGGGCTGTGGGCCAAGCCTGCCCAGGAGTCAAAGCTAAGTCTTGGCTATTTAGGAGGCAGCTCCTCAGTGACTCACCGTTTGGGCTTTTGTGACCCAGGCCAGGAGCCAGGGGCTGCCAGGAGGTGCCCTCATTAAAACCAAAAGGCGATGGGGAGCACAGAGGGGCCGATGACTCACCGCAGCCGGGGCTCCTGGCCAGTGGACTCACCTCTCTGGCCCCTGGGCCCCCAAGTCTGCTCTGAGTGGGTGAGAGAGCCCAGCATGAAGAGTCCCAGGAGGAGCTTCTGGCAAGAAGTGGGAGGGGCAGGAGGCGGGGCCGCACCCAACTTCACTGACTTTACGCTCATGTCAAAAACCTTTCATTCCAACCCTGGTCCAGGGATCCCAGACGCCAGCCTGCCTGCCCCTCTCCCAGGGGACACCTCCCAGGACTCCATCCTGGTGGGAGGGAGAGGGAATCTGGGCTGGGACGCTTTCCTGTCTGCAGTGTGCAACCGCCTCTCCTCTGAAAGGAGGTCAAGGCCAGGCTCCAAGTCAGCTCAGGGCCGCAGCACAGTTTCTGTCGTGGGCCCTGGCACTTTTGCTTTCGTGGGCCTTCTCCTGCGTTAAAAAAAAAAAAAAAAAGAAAAGAAAATGTTGTGACCTCATTGGTATGGAGAGAAATAGAATGCAGACTGGATTATAGTCATTCTTCTTATTTTAAAGAAATTAGAACATTGTGAGGCATCGAAAGGCATCGTGGGCGCTGGGCAGTGTGCCTCCTGTTGGCAATTAGTTAAGCCCTTTGATCTGCCTGGCCCAGATCCTGCTCACCATGGACGTAGGCGTGTGCCTCAGTTTGCCTCTCTGTAGAGTGGGCATGATGGTAGCAGCCGCCTCGTGGGGCTATGAGAGCCCCTTGAGATCCCACTGAGGGGGGCTGGGCGCAGTCCGGCACAGACTAAGTACTCCGAGTGGGCTCCCCGCGTAGCTGCATGTGAGCTTCACATGAAGGAGGCAGGGGTGCGACGCCTTCTCTCCTCATGATAGGAAAACCAGGTTCTGAGCTGGGGAAAGGACCTGCCAACAGCCACATAACAGCCCTGTGGCTCAGTGGTTAGAGTATCGGCCCGTGCACCAAAGGGTGGCGGGTTTGATTCCTGGTCAAGGGCACATACCTGGGTTGCAGGTCGGTCCCTGGCCCCCATCAGGGCATATGAAGGAGGCAACTGATTGATGTCTCTCTCACATCAATATTTCTCTCTTCTCTCTTCTCTTCTCTTCTCTTCTCTTCTCTTCTCTCTCTCTCTCTCTCTCTCTCTCTCTCTCTCTCTCTCTCTCCTCCCCCCTTCTTCTCTCTCTCTTTCCCTCCTTTCCACTGTCTCTAAAAATTGATGGAGAAAATATCCTCGGGTGAGGATTAACAAATAAACCAAAAAGCCACGCAATAAATGATGGACTTGGGACTTGGAGGCCAAGATGAAGCAGCTCCCAGGCCCCACAGGTTGATGGAAGTGGTTGGTCAAGTTATCCCAGTCCCAGGCCAGGAAAAAGGAGGGCCGGGCAGGAAGGAGACGCCCCAGGACCGTGTCTGGCCTCAGTTCTGCCCAAGTGGCCTCCAGGGAGGGGCAGCCGCCGGCAAACCAGGCGCTGTGAGCCCAGGGCCGGTGGGATTGGCATTTCTGACCACGACAGAGCCACCCTCTCCTCTATCCCTCTGACCGTGGGGACAGCAGCTCGCCCTAGGGGACAAGCTGGACTGGGGGCTACTGTCTCCCCGACCCAGCCCCTAGGTGACAGCAGCAAGCTGGAATGTGGGTTCTCCCGCTGACTCAGGCCCCCTTCTCTGGCAGCCACACTGCCCCACTGCTGGGGAGCTGGGGGGGACAGGACTCACATCTGGGAGGTTTTCACTGCTTGTCACATCAGCAGGAGCCTCCCCAGGAAAGGACAGGAAAGGAAAATCCCGGCCGAGCTCCCAGCCTTCGGCCGTAGGTTCTTGGACAAAGGCCGCCAGGCCCCGGTGTCCCGCGGGGGTCAAGCGGCTCTTGGCTACCCTCTGGGCAGCACGGAGGCCGGGGGGAGGCGCGGGGCGGGGGCAGAGGCCCAGCGCAGGGAGAAAGGACGGACGTGCACTCCCAGGCCACGTGGGCTTCCGTGTCTCGGCCTCTCTGGGCCTCAGTGGCTGCATCAGTAAAACAGGGGTGAGATCAAAATACCCAGAATGCAAAGCCCCTGGCACAGCCCCTGCCCGGAGCCCCTGCCCGGAGCCCGCCAGCAGGAGCCCGCAGAGGGTCTGGGGAAGGGGCGCTGAGATGGATGGGAAGGCCTGAGAACCAACAGCCAGAGGGCCCCTCCCCCAGGCCCTGGCCCGTGTCAGACCTGGAAGTGTTTGCATCACTGGGCACTCAGGGGTTAATGACGGGGAGTGGACAGGGCCCGGGTATTTAACTATTAAGGAAGTGCCCGCCCCGCAGACCAGAGGTGCCCCTGCTCACCTCCTTCTCCGCAGCCCAGCTCCAGCTCCCAGCTCCGGCCCTGCTCACCGCCCCTCCCCCAAGATGAAGCCTCCCCCTCTTCTGACCTTCCTTAGCCTCCTGGGTAAGTGACCTCTGTGACCTTCACCCTTCCCCTGACCCAGCCAGGAGCCCCAAACTCCCTGGCCCTGGGAGGGTGTGGTGGGTCATCCTGAGGCCAGTCCTGCTTGAGCCAGCACTGACCATTGGGGAGGGTGCGGGTCAGGGGGATGCCTCCGGGTTGGCCTGGGGGGCATGAGAAAGGGGTTGGTTGGGACCCCACACAGCACACACGGGGCTCCGTCACCCACACTCCACCCCCCACCCTCGCCTCCATGGTGGAAGGATCTGGAGGGACTGGGGGAGGTCCAGGTGGTTAGGAAGCCCAGCTGGCGGCGTCCAATGGCACTTGGTGGGAACAGGGTGCGTCTGGGGTGCAGGCCTGCCAGCTGGGGGAGGGTCAGGACCCGGGAGAGATTTGGGGGACAGTGGGGTTATCCTGGGAGGTGGCAGAGGAGAGCGGGAGGGGATTGGGTGCAGTGACATGAGGGGGGAGGGGAGGAGACCCAGGTGCAATGGAGATATTATTACTGATTAGCGTTATTGATATTGGGAGGGAGGTGCTGGGGACACGAGGTTAACTGGACAGCCAGAGAGATGTCTGACTGGGATGGGAGGGGACCTCAGGGGACGCTCAGGGATCCGAGGGCACCGCCCGCCCCTGCAGTGGCCCTGGCTGGCGGGAACCTGCTCCAGTTTGGGGTGATGATTGAGAAGATGACCGGGAAGTCGGCGCTGCAGTACAACGACTACGGCTGCTACTGCGGCATCGGCGGCTCCCACTGGCCGGTGGACCCGACGGACTGGTGAGCGGGAGGCCCACGGGGCCTGTCTGGGGTGGAGGAGCTGGGGGAGCATCCCTGGAGGAGGGAGGAGCCGAGGCCATCTAGAAAGGGGGGCTGACCTCTCCTGGGAGCCCCGAGCAGGCCCTGGTGACCCTTCCAGGTGCTGCCATGCCCACGACTGCTGCTACGGGCGCCTGCAGAAGCTGGGCTGCGAGCCCAAACTGGAGCGGTACCTTTTCTCGGCCAGCAAGAGCAACATCCTCTGCTGTGAGTGATGCTCCGAATGCCAGGGAGGGGGCTGGCGTCAGGCAAGAATCCCCTCCTGATGGAGACCCCGGCACCAGGCCCTGGGCTGGAGGGATGGGGTCTTCGCCATCACAGAACCGGGAGAGGCATGTCCACCCCCACCTGCTCTGCCTGGCACCCAATCTAGAGCCCTGTGATCCCTCGGGCCCTGCCCTGGCCTCAGGCGCTTCCCCCACCCAGAAGCCTCCCTGTTCCAGGGGCTGGGAGAGGAGCCAGGGGGCAGAGCAGAGCCAGGGCCCTGAGGAGCCGCACCCACACACCCTCCCCAGGCCTGGCAGCAGCTCGAGGTAAAACCCCCAGGACAGAGCCTCAGGGCACGGGCCCAGGCAGAGAGCGGGCGCTCTGATTTGGGACAGCAGACGCCATGCCCGAAGGCCGCCTCCCCCAGGGGCTGCCAGGCTGGGCCCATTTGCTCAGTGTTGCCAGGTCCCATGCCCACTTGGACCAGCTCCCTTTCCTCTGGTCCCCACCCTGAGAAGCAACCTGGACCAAGTCAGAGTGAGGAGGGCTTCACGCAGCCCAGCCCCCACGGAGCCCAGACCAGCTAACCCAGCCATCTTCCAGCTGCAAAGCCGGGGCGGCCTGGAGGGGGAGCCGGCGCAGCGTGGGGCGCAGGGAGGGTCACAGAAGACTCAGCTCAGACCCGGGTTTGTGCTGGGGGCAGGCAGAGCCGGGACCACAACCACCGGGGCAGATTTGGCTCAGTTTCTTGCTCCTGCAGCCATCTGCTCAGCGAGGCAGCTTTTTGTCAGGGAGTGAGCTCCCCAGCCCTGGGGGTGCCTGCAAGGCCAGATGGCCCCTGTCAGGGCAGTGCTGGGAGGTGTCAGGTGGGTATGGACGCAGGCTCGGGGCTGGGCACCCCTCGAAAGCCTCTGCCTCCTCATCTATGAAATGGAGGTAGTCACACTCACTTGCTCAGCTTCAGTCCAGCTCCTGCAAGAACCACCCAAAAGAACTGACTCGACCCTTAAGCCCCTTCCAACTCTGAGTTTTGCTGAAATAACAGCATGAGAAATGGAGAGCGACCGCCCAGAGGAAAGAGCCTGGGACATTTCTGAGCTGTGGACGTGTTCCTGGGGACAGAAAGGAGCCAGGGCCACTGGGGCAGACAGGCAGGGAGGGACGGCGAGGCTTAGGGCCCCCGGTGCCTGGTACCAGTTCTGCTCCCGCGCTGGGTGTGGGCACACACATGGAGGGGGATGGGTAAGGTAACTGTCAGAGAAATGGGCTCCGTCCACTCACAGACACAAGCACAGGGGCCCAGCCTCAGGCCCCACGGCCTCCAGTCTGGGCACAGGCTGCTCTGGGCACGCACAGCCCATCTGGGATTGGGTCGCTGTCATTCGTAATTTTCCTCTCGGCTTGATGGCTGCAATCCCCCGTCAGCAATACTTCACATGGGGCAGGAGCTGCCTAGAAATC